CTTGAGCCACATCCCCAGCCCTAGATTTAGATTTTTTTTTAGATTGAAAATAATATTACAGAAACATGAAAGAATACCAAGGAGAAAATAGTTACCCCTTGGACCTGTTACTTATCTAAGTGCTCTTATCCTCTTGTCCCTTCCAGCTTTGGGCCACAGACACACTGACACTTTTTACATAGTTTTACTAGRAAGTACATATACAACTCTGTGTTCTATTTCTTTCTGTTAACATACTGTGTTAGAATAGCACTGTATTGTTAAGATGGTTTGCAGAGCACTTATTTAAATCCTTGCATAAAAGTCTACTGAGTTGATTTTACCTTCCTCCTTGTCAAATGTAAGAAGTCTAGAATTCCTGTAGTGAGTTGTTGATCAGAACACCCTTTCATGTGGTAAGATTCCCTTGGCCTGAACTTGAATTTGTTTGTTTTATCTAATAAAACTACTTAAAGGAGAGTGCAGTTTTCACATCTGTGGCACAAATGGGTCTGAGTGGATTCTCACATTCTTACAGAGTGATGAGGGGAGGGAAGGTGTGGACCAGGTTGCAAATGGCCACTTGCTGAAATGATGTTATTATGTCTGTGGCAAGGACATAACAAGGTTAACTGTGTCTTGTCCCCCAGAACCTGTGGACAAAGTGGCTGCCTTGAGGGAGTTCCGGGTTCTGCACACTGCTTTGCACAGCAGCTCCTCCTACAGGGAGGCGGTGAGTGTGAGCTGGGGCTGCAGGAAGAGGGTGTGAATGCTGGTGTTGATGGTGGAGAGTGGGAGCTGGGAGTCCCGTTGCCACAGCAACCAAGAGTTCCTCTGGGAGTTTTGCCTTGTCTGTGGGCCTCAGTAGAGCCCTATCTTTTCCCAGAGAGCCTGTCTTAGCTAGGTGTTGATTCCCTCTAATGATAATGATATAACCTCTCTCATACTGGCCTCATGGAATGAATATGGCAGTAGCCAAAGAATCTACAGAGTTTTTGCTAGGCCTCATTCTTTGTCTTTGGCTGAACTGCATGCCTACCACCCCTTAACATCGGTTTCCTCACTGGGGAATGGGCTGATGCTTTTCTGTAGGAAAGTTGACAGGAAAATTAATACAGCTGTGAACTTCCCAGTATATATGAATATGAAATAGTAATTGTATGGAGATTTAAAAAGGCTTTTGGGATCTAGAGAAACCTTTGTTATTGGGCTTGTAATGAGACCTTTCATTTTGCAAGTGTTAGAACTATGGTGGGGGAAAGAACCACAGAGACTGAGGTATACTTGCCTTTTTTTTTTTTTTTTTCAATTCTTTGTTTCCTTTCCAGTAAGTCACAATCTCAGAGCAAAACGAGGCTCATCTATTTCCGGGGGTATTGTTTTGTTGTGGTGGTGTATGTGCAAACATGTAAAGGGAGGAAGTCTTTGAGCAGAGTGTGGGCATTTGATGAATGTTTGAAGCTAGTTGAAATGCTTAGTCCTCCCTGTTTCTCCTGCAGGTCTTTAAGATGCTCAGCAACAAAGAGTCTTTGGATCAAATCATTGTGGCCACCCCAGGCCTCAGCAGTGACCCCATTGCTTTGGGTAAGTTCAGGAAAGGATTTGAGGAAATAAGAGTTGTTGGAAAAGGAGAAACCATAACCCTAAAGTGATTCTGACCATTTTTTAAAGAATCAGTGGTCTTATGGGAAGAGGGAAAGTGATCGAGATGTGTTTTACGTACTCATCCCCTAAGAGTTCTCAGTCCTCCAGAGTATTAATGRTCTAAATAGCATAATAAATGAGGGTGTGAGCATGCCAAATGAGGGCTACAGTTAGCCTGAATCACTTCAATCACTAAAGGGAAGACTTCCTATACAACTTGATGGATGAGGGAACCCAAAGATACAGARGAGGAAGACTAGTGTGTTAATGCTCAGTGTTTGAGCATTTAATGCACAGTGGGGAGGTTCAGGGCAGGGGAACATCCCCACTGGAAGAGGAAGGAGTGTACTTGGATTGTGTTGCTTGGGGTGTTTCCTCCTTTTCTCATTAGGGCAGGTCCTATGTTCTTGTTAAACTAGTTGTTCTGAGACTAGTGCCTCTTCACCATCCTGGATCTGACCAGATTTCCATTCTCTGAAGGGGGTTGTGTTCTCTTTTAGGAGTTCTCCAGGACAAGGACCTTTTCTCTGTTTTTGCTGATCCTAACATGCTGGATACGTAAGTGTAATCATCGTATTAGAGGGCATCATGTCTGTTCTCATGTGGTTAGGCCAGAAACCTAATTGTTGCCCTGGATTGTGCTCTTAGAGCCCATCCTCAGCCTGTCACTGGATCCACCTTCTGAATATGTTAGGAGGTGAGAAGGAGCAAAGGCTGTTTGGGAATGGTAAAGCTTAAAGTCAGGGACATGTGAAGAGTGTCAGGATGAAGCAAAATTATGTGGGACAGGGCTTTGTGTGCCTGGGACAGTTAAGATTTTGTTTGGTAGATGTTAGAGAGTCTCTGAAGGATTTGAGCTCTCTCTAAAATATTAGAGCTAGAAGGGACAGAAAAGACCTTGTTTTGCCAGTGGAAACAACCCTACCCAGAGACCGAGAAGGAAGCTGTCAAAGGTTTCCCAGTATAGTAAGAATGTTGTCTAGGACCAGAACCTGAGCCCATCAGCCTATGCATTTCCCATCATGCTTTGTCTGAGATGAAAGTGATGGATTTGCAATAGATTCCAGAAACTGAAGGCCTTGCTTCATTGCTGAGGGCGGATCAGCTTCTTGGCATAAGATGCTGAAGGCAGGGCAGGAAAGGCATCTCTGTCATAGTGAGGGGGTACCCAGAACTGTCATAGTTGAGGATGTCTTTTTCCTTCTTGGTCACCCTTGGGTTTTTCTTGTCCCGTCTTAGATTGGTACCTGCTCACCCAGCCCTGGTCAATGCCATCATCCTGGTTCTGCACTCAGTAGCAGGTAGTACCCCAATGCCAGGAGCTGACTCCTCTTCCCGAAGCATGCCCTCCAGCTCGTACAGAGATATGCCAGGTAAGCTCCAGAAGAGAGTACCATAGGCCCTTCAGGAGCCGGTAATGGCCCAAGGATTTGCTTTCCTCAGCAGCTATGTATAGTGTTGGCAGAGGACGTTCCTTGGGAACTCTCAGTTTGAGTCAGGAAGTGCATCTGTCCTGTAATTTTCCAAGGGGAGATGAAATATGAATTTGGAGTAAGTTGAGCTGAGATCTGGAGCTGCGCCTGTGCCTTTCTGTTCTTCCTCCTGAAATCTGTTCATTCTCTTCCAGGTGGCTTCCTGTTTGAAGGGCTCTCAGATGATGAGGATGACTTTCACCCAGTAAGTGGCCCAACTGCCTGCTGCTTAGGGGAGATGGTGCTAGGAATGAGCCCCTCCCTGGGACTTGGCACTCCCAAGGCTGAGAAGTGGTCATAGGTAGGCCCTTTGGGGGGCCAAGACTTTGTCATACTGTTCCTTTTCTGTATTGTTTTTGGGATCTGGGAGCTTAGGCAGTCTTCCCAGGAACTGTTTCTGGAGTGGAGAGAGGTTCTTTTGGGGATTTCAGTGTCTTTTCCTGATTCTGGATCCTCCCTTCTCCAGAGCACCCGATCTACACCCTCTAGCAGCACATCCAGCTCTCGACCAGCCTCCCTGGGGTACAGTGGAGCTGCTGGACCCCGTCCCATCACCCAGAGTGAACTGGCCACTGCCCTGGCCCTGGCCAGCACGCCAGAAAGCAGCTCTCACACACCAACTCCTGGTACCCAGGTATGGAGAGAGGACTGGGAATATCAAGGCCGTGCCCCCAAGGGAGAAGCTCCCCAGTGGTAGAATAGGATTTGCCTTTGCTGACCCTGGTGCTAGATCTGGTTTGAGCTATACCCTGAAGCCCCTGGTGGGATTTCTTGGTACAGTTCAGGTGACTTTCCCCTCATTTGCCTGTAGGGCTAAGAGGTTTGACATAGGCCTGGCTGATTCCTCTTAGTTTTCAGAAGAATCTCCCCTCATGTAATATGCCCTTCCTCATCCCTGACTGGGACTAGGTATCACCAACTTAAGCATTCCTGGTGATGAGTTACTCCAGCTTCCAAGGCCTTCTCCCAGAACTGGAGTCTTAGACTGGGTTGTGGGCTTAAAGTCCATTTTCATGGAGTGGAAGAAAATGGAACTTTTTTTGCCCACATAAATAGCTTTTAGGTACTTTCATGTGGTTATCTCGTAGCAGATTCCTGTTGGGAGGTTGTAGTTGGGTACCCAAGGAGCATATGGGGTGATATGATAATTGTAGATATCTGTAGCAAGTTGAGATAGTTCTTGAGGTGACTCTGATTGATTTGACTCTAGGGCCATTCATCAGGGACCTCACCAATGTCTTCTGGTGTCCAGTCAGGAACGCCTATCACCAATGATCTCTTCAGTCAAGCCCTCCAGCATGCCCTGCAGGCCTCTGGGCAGCCCAGCCTTCAGGTCAGTCTTCCCCATTTCCTGACTTCCATGTGGCATGGAAGTATGGGCATGGCGTGTGACAGGTGAGGAGTGTTCTTACCAAGGACAGTTGTCCCTGTGGCTTCTATTCCTGCTCCCAGTGACCATGACCTGACTCCCCTGACTGCCTGGCTTGTATAATCATGTCAGTTTTAGTCAGGAAGTCATTCATTCATTCAGTGAGCATGAGCTGATCATTGAGCATATGTAATACGAGGTCTGGCTCCAGATGCAGGGGCATTGGGCAAACTGGTTCTCATCCCTGCCATAATGGGGCACCGGGCAGGTTTGGAACTAGGGAAGAGAAACCCAGCTTCTTGAAGTGAGGGCTTAGTTAGGCAAAATTTTTCTTAGGAAGGGTTATTTAAGCTGATTGTCAAAGAATTAACTGGTTTTATTTTGTTTTTTTTTGGGGGGGGCGGGCTACTGGGGATTAAACCCAGGGGCACTTAACAACTGAGCCACATCCCCAGCCTTTTTTCATATTTTCTATGGAGACAGGGTCTCACTGAGTTGCTTAGGGCTCCAATAAATTGCTGAGCCTGCCTTTGAACTTGAGATTCTCCTGTCTCCCGAGCTGCTGGGATTATAGACATGCACCACCACAGCCAGCAAGAATTAGCAGTTAACCAAATAGGGAAAAGAGATGTTTGTGGTAGGGAAGGAATAGTTTCCAGGTGGAGGCAACTCCCTGTTTGAGCAAATGTGTGGAGGCATATATTATATACTTAAAACTACAAGGCTCCAGGGTTGTGGCTCAGTGGTAGAGTGCTCGCCTAGCATATACTAGGCCCTGGGTTCGATCCTCAGCACCACATAAAAATAAATAAAAGGTATTGTGTCAGCTACAACTAAAAAATGTTAAAAAAAAAAAAAAAAAACCCACAAACAAAACTTCAAGGTACAGGCAACATCCCAGTGTAAAAAGTTCTGAGATGGAGCTAGAGAAAGGGAGCCTGGGTATGCTGGGTGTGAAGGCCCTTAAATGCCAATTTAAGGGGGCTGGGGATGTGGCTCAAGCGGTAGCRCGCTCACCTGGCATGCGTGCGGCCCGGGTTCGATCCTCAGCACCACATACCAACAAAGATGTTGTGTCTGCCGAGAACTAAAAAAAATAAATATTAAAAATTCTCTCTCTCTCTCTCCTCTCTCTTTAAAAAAAAAAAAAAATGCCAATTTAAGGAGAGAGTCTTGGCAGGTTTGAAGAAGAGGAAGGGTCACCCTAGCAGCTAAGTGGAAAACCCAAGGCCTCAGCATTTTATCACATGCCTCCACATGTGAGCTGTTAGCTTTATGTCTGCTTCCTTTATTCCTTAGAGTAGGCCTCTTCAGGGAGTGTCATTCCTAGAACTTGTCTAGATCCCAAAGCCATGAAATGGTAAAGACAGAGTTCAGACCCATGAGGTTTTCACTACCCCACTGGCCCTTAGGGACAATGAGGGTAATAGGCACAGGACATGAGGACAACTTCTCCATGCTTTCATCTTCCCCTGTTAGATGCCTGTTCACTTGGCTCTGCAGCTCTGCACTTGCCTTGGTTCCACCTGACCTATCAAATGCCTCCATGTTGATGTGTGCTTTTTTTTTTTTTTTTGGTACTGAGGATTGAACCCAGGGGCACTTAACCACTGAGCCACATCTCCCTGCCCTTTTTATTTTTTGATACAGGGTCTCACTAAGTTGCTTAGGTCCTTGCTGAGTTGCTGAGGCTGACCTTGAACTTAGACTCCTCCTGCATCAGTCCCCTGAGTTGATGTGTGCTTCACAGTCTCACCCCTGCCTCGCTCTTTGCATTTGCCTTTCTTCCCCACTGCCTTCTTCCTGCATGTGTACACACAGGTTTCCCTATATTGCATACTTCTTCGTATCATGAAGTAGGGATATTAATGACACTATGAAAATACTAGAATAAAATGTGAGTGTATTTCTTTAAATCCTTATAGTAGATAAGGCCCTTTCATGGCTAAAACTAAGAATCCAGGAACCATTAAATAAGAGTTATAAGCCAGGCATGGTGGTGCATGCCTGTAATCCTAACAGCTTGGAAGGCTGAGGCAGGAAGATTGCAAGTTTGAGGCCAGCCTCAGCAATTTAGCAAGGCCCTAAGCAACTTAGTGAAATTATATCTCAAAATAAAAAATAAAAAGGCCTTGGTATGTTGTTCAGTGGTTAAGTGCCCTTGGGTTCAATCCCTAGTACCCCCCCAAAAAAAAAAGATTTATAAATTTTGAGTTTATAACTCAAAATTTGAGTTCTGCCTGGCAAATCAAACCCAAATAACAATAACTACAAAAACTAAACAAAGGCTAACTAAACTGAGGGGGAAAGTCTAACGTATCACACAGAGGATGAAATCTTCCTGATGTATAGAGGTTCTAGAAATTAAGACAAATAACTCCATAGAAAAATAGGCAAAGGGATTGATGTAACTAGGTAGAGTATTTGCCTAGCATGCACAGGTCCTGGGTTTGATCCCCAGCTTCACAAAGTGGTGGTGGCAAAGAATATGAACAGACTATTCACTGGAAAGGAAGTACAGATAGCTATTAAACCCGTATAATAATTCCAGCAACCCCTTTTCTCAGAATTTGTTCTGGATGTTTATGTGCCTGTAGAAAATGACAGTTGTAGAGTCAGTCACTGCAGCTTTTGTGATAGCAAAAGATTGGAAATAGCCCAGTTTTTGTGTGTTTTRAGGACACGCATTTGTTAGAATATTGTGTATTAAAAAGTTCTTTTATGTACCAACATGGAAAGATCTCCAGGATAGATTAATTACATTAAAAGCCAGCTCAGGTTATTTAGTGAGATCCTGTTTCAAAGAGTATTTTTTTTTTTAAAGGGCTGGGGATGTAGCTCAATGGTAGAGTGCTTGCCTAGGAATATACATTTATATTTCTTGAAAGAAATAAAATAGGTTACTTGGGGTAGGAGTTGGACTAGATAAAAGTAAGACTTTTCACTACATATTATGCTAAAAAACAAAACTAGTTTTATTCCTCTCCCATTTATTTGTGTGTGCGTATGCACACATGCACACAAGAGAAAGAATTGAGACAGTAATTTGCATTTTCTCTTTTGAACCCTTTCTTACTGTAAAACTTTGAATTTGTGTTCTTAACCCTCAAGCCTTTTAATGTTCCTCAAGTCCCCATTCCATGGAACTTAGTATACCACCTTTGCCCTAGGAGTCCCATCTTTTTTTCTTTTCCCTGAAAGTATAGACCTAATTGCATCCTCATTAGGGTCCCAGTTAACAGCTTCTGTCTACCCTGTCTTTCCACAGAGTCAGTGGCAGCCCCAGTTGCAGCAGCTGCGTGACATGGGCATCCAGGATGATGAGCTGAGCCTGCGGGCCCTTCAGGCTACTGGTGGGGACATCCAAGCAGCCCTGGAACTCATCTTTGCCGGAGGAGCCCCATAATCTCCCTGCTCCTTCTGAACCCCCAGCAAGTTACAGAGGCTGCTGATGATGATGGGAGACACTTGTGAAGATGTCTCCATTTCTCTTCTCCCCAATATACCTGATGGTCATCAACTCTCCTGCTTTGTCCAGTGTTTGGCCTTTCTGGCTGATCTGAGCTGGTAGAGGCGGGGGGCAAGCAGAGTGTGCGGTCTTGGTGCTGTGGCATCAGGGAGCAGGGTTGGCCCCTGGTTCTGGGCCCCAAATAGAGGATTTTAGATCCACATCATGGAATGCTGTGTAATACCCTTGTTCACTTTKGGGATTGGTAGCAGTAGCCCCCAGACTCTTTGGTGCTTTGGGGTATGACAGCCTTAGGTTGTACCCAAGGCTGGAGCAGGGCTATGCCAGTATTCAGGGTGATTGTTATGTGACAGTTATGGCCAGAAGAGGCTCATGCTTCTGAGATAACCACAGTCTAGGGAGTAGCCAGTGGGTTTTCAGAGGGAGCAAGTGGGTGGCTTGCCTTCCACATTACTGCTTCTCCCAAAGCCTTTCAAAAACTTCCTTGTCCCTGCCTTGGTCTTGCCTTACCAAACATTTTCTGATGCATTTTCTTTTTTTTCTTTTAATGATGTCAGAATCCAGGCCTCAAAGCTGAGCCAGAATTCAGGGTTCTTTCCTCTGCCCTAAAGGTATAAGTACAAGAGCAGTTGAATAAGGATACTAAATAACAAGACCAACACTAACAGGGCTAAGTTTTAATATTAAAGAGAGGGCACCAACCCTCCCAGCAGCTGCTCCATCTGCAGGTCCTCTGGTTCCCTTGGCACTGCATTCCCCGCTTCCTACAGCATCAGACGTATTCAGGTTGAGAAAGTGGGTTTTATATGCTTCAGGTACTTTGTTAGCAAAAAAATCCTTTGCCTTCATTGGCATTTGAGTTCATTTGAGAGCTCATCTGTGTGGAAAGATGCTCAGAGCTCTGTTCCTGCCCCAGACCTTGGCAGGTGTACAATCTTTACCATCCCCAGTCATGGCTGTTTGGCCTCTTCTTGTTTCTTCCTGGGACAAAAGTCTTAAATTTTTAAGGATAGCCTATTCATTCTTTAATGTTCCCCAGAGAATTTACCCCAAGACCCTTTCTGCCCTAAGGAACCACGTAGAACTGTTCCCTCTTTGCATTAGCAGAACTTTAGTTACTTAAAGAGTGTAACACTTATCCCTTTGACCTGTCCTTGTTTTGGTCCCCTGATCTTTTCTCTGGGTGTCCTCCAGTTTATCAGTTATTCTTACAGGAAGCACTCAGAAGAACCCGCTATTCCATATATGCCCCAAACAGCCCATTGTTCTTTGTCTCCTACAGACATTTTGAAAAGTCTTTACGCATTCCTTCACAACCCTAGGATTAATGTTGAAAAGTGTTTGCATTGGCAGAAAGACTCGATTTCTGGGCCTCTACTGCCAGGCCTCTCTGGGCCTCAGTGGTCTGCCTGAAACCCAACTATCTCATGGTTGAGAGCAAAGACCAGGAAGCTTTGTCTTTGAACCCAGGGTCTCTTGCTTATTTGTGGTGGAAACAGTCTGGTTCTATTCTCTTGTGGTAGTTGAATGGGGCTGACATAGCCCTTCCTGTTCCCATGATACAGCTTGCCCTAGATCTGGTTTCCATTTTGTGGCAACTCTCACCCTGACTCTAATGCCCTTCAAAGATATTGGGGCTCCTTAGCTTCCCAACCCCCTTAGGCTGTGGAGTATTTGGGTAAGCCTGCCCAATTGCCGGAACCACCCCAGTACCAGTTACACAGCTTCCCAGAATTGAACTGAACCCACTGTTTCCCTTTCCCTTCTTTGTCAGCTCTTTCCTCCAGGGCCTTGGCAGGTTGGGTTTGCTTCCTGTGGCCAAGTTTTAAGTAATATATGTTGGGTCTGATAAATGCCCCCACTGAGCCTGGGGTTTTCCAGGGCCAAAGACTCCTTCCTCACCATTGTCTCTTTCACCCTTTCAACAAACATTAAGCTTCTGTGCCTGGTAAACATGGTGTCCTTGCTCTCATAGAGCTGTGTCATTGGTAAGACAGACAACACATTTATACTACAGCCTAATAAGAACTGGACCAGGCAAGTCCAAGGCCTGTGGAGGTTTCTGGGAAAGGGAGCTCACTTATTTGTGTGTGAGAATGAGTGAAGCTGGTTAGAAAAAGTATAATCCAAGATGAGATCTGAAGGGTGTGGAGGAATTGGGCAGGGACGTGTATGTGCTTAGCAGCCTGGTAGTTGGGAGAGAATATGGCTCTTCTATCCCTGTCAGGATGGATATGAAGATGGGTCATGTAAGAAGTTTTGGCTTACCCTGAGGACAGTGTAGAGTTAGAATTTTAATCGCGAGAGTCAGATTTGGTTTTTAGAAGGTCAGTCTGGCTGCTGGAGGTAAATGGAGGGGATGGAGACAGGTTGGAGAGAGGGAGCCCAGCAAGGAAGATGAGGCAGTGATCTGCTTAGAACTGAGGGCTGGCCTAGCAGCGTGCAATGAAGGAGAAGGGTGGAAACAGGCCTAAGGGGTAAGAATTGATATCAGTCTTTGGAAGAGGTGAATATAACCTATTGTCATCTCCATAGAACAGATGGGGATACCAAAATCAGATGGGAAGATCATCTGTCCATGATCTCATGGTTAGAAAGTGTACAATTATAGCTGACTGTTGACCAAAGTAGGGAGGACTACATGATAAGGGCTTAGATCAGCCTGAGGAGCTCTGGCTTTATCCAGAGAAGACTAAAGAGCACCCCTGGAATGGCTTTGGGTAGGACAATTGGGGATCAGATTTGTATGTAAGATAGTCTGACAGCTGCATGGAGGGTGCATTTGTGGGAAGTGAGAATGGGGGTGGGTGTCCAGCTAGGATGTTTGCTGTCTCCAGATGGGACATGGTGGAGGCCTTCACTTAAGCTTACAGCAGGGGAGCTGGGTGGAGGGATATGAAGTGTGAAGGACAGACTAGATTTGAGGGTGAGAAAGAGGGAGGAGGCAGAATGTGAGTGAGTAGGTGGTAGTACAGCAGGAATAAGAAATTGGGGGTTAGGATTTAGAATGCAAGACCAGTTTTGGACATGTTGAGCTTAAAGTACCAACCAAGCAGAGATATCCAGTAGACAGTTGGATGTACCTGGCCTTAAAGAGAGATCAGGAGGTTTTAAGTTCAAGACTGGATTTTCATCATATGAGAAGGTAATTCAACTTTTCAGGGAAAGGTGGAGGACAAAGAATAGCCGCTAAGAAGCTTGACTTTATAGGGAATGATAAGTGTTTGGTAAGAAACCTGGAAGGGAGTTGGGATCTGCTACTTCTGGGAAGGCTAGAGCAGGACTCACCAAAGCAGAGGACAAAGGGCATGGTCCTCACTGTAGCCAAAAGGCTGACCTTGGACTTACCAACTTATTCCATGGTGACCTTGAGGATATGACACAGTAGACCAGAGCCAGATTGGAGGGTTGAGGACTGGATACACTGGGGGGCAGTGGAGGCAAAGGGCAGAGAAATCTGGAGGATCTTGTTGGTTAGGGACAGGGCCATAGCTAAAGGGGAGATGGGATTGAGTAAGCATTGCAGTTCAACAGAGGTGAAGTTGGAATTGATCGCAAGAACTTTTCTAGGAAGCTGAGGGGAAAAAAAGGAAGAGAGACCCCAAAATAGAATATGCAAATATGCAGAGATGGGTAAATTTTCTGAACAGATCCCTTCTCCTGATATAACTCAAATTTGGCTGGGCTGACATGGGCTGGGCTGGCACAGCTTGCTGGGCACATGGGCCCAGGTTCTGCTCCTCGCCTCAGCCCCATCTGGCCTGGGCCCCAAACCAAGCAAACTCAGATTCCTACCCTGAGGTGGCTTCTTGTTTCCTCTGCCCCAGGCCTTGGCAGTGAACTGTTAGTGAGGATTTTAGGAATTCATTCAGGCCTCCCTCTGCTTCCCCAGACTTTTCCAACATGTTGGACCCCCTCTGGCCCTGGGCCAGGGTTCAGTTCAGCTCAGCTGTGCCCCTGGTTCCCTTGGGCCCTGCCCAGTCTTATTCCCATAGGCCCTGCAGTTACTGGTGACACCKCGGCTTTCTCCATGCTTGAAATGGCTTTGCAGTACCCTGGGCATTTGCCTCCCCTACCTTGGCAAAACTAGTTAACAGCAATGCAGTACAATAGTGCTCATTTATCACACATCCTTTGTGCCAAGCATTGAAATAGGCACTTACATGTGCCATCTCAGTTGATCCTCATAACCATCTTCAAAGGGATATGTTATTACACCCCTGTACAGATGAGTGCTTTTTGTTAGAAGATGTCACTGACGGGAAATGTCTTTCCAGGGTTTTGATGAGTGTGTCAGCCATGATTTCATCAAGGTATCCACCTGGGGCCTTGTRCTTTTCTGGCAGGCCAGAAAGTCACTCAGAGGTCTGAAGGGTCTGCTCACCACTCATTCTGAAGTGGCAGCTCAGATCTTGGAAGGGAATTAGGCTTCTTAGAATGACTAAACTTCAGGTCACTTTTCCACAGATGACTTGACTTCTTGGATCCTCTGAACCTGAGTTTTGTCCTATTTGACATTTCCCCTCAATTTACATAAGTGAATATTGACCCTGTGTACATCAGAGATGCCAAGTGCTCAGAACTGGGCTGGGGAATATTCTAGGTGGAATCAGGATCCGGACAGCAAGGCAACCCTAACTAGAGAGACAGCAGCAGGGAAAGTTCAGAAAACAAATTGCTTTTATGGAAGAAGGGGTTTCATTTCTTCTCCTGGGTTCAGATTCAAACTCAGAATCTTTAATTCAGCATCCTAGAAAATTGGAGAATTGGACCAAAGATGACCCTAGGTTTATAGGAAAAGGAGATAGCACCATGGTGTCTAAACCTAATCAGAGGCTTCCTAGGTGCTGGAATCTGGAGTAAGAAGTCTGCCTTTTCAGCCTCTGTCATAGGCGTTGTGTATGACCTGAGGCCTGATTTTTGGAAGGAAAGGACACAAAGTGGACTGCTTAGTGGCAGTTTGTTAAATGACTAATCATGTCCTAGGAATCAACCAGGATTAGAGAGACTCCCAAGGAAAGTCCCATGAGAGACTTATTTGGAAATGGGGTTATATACCCTGAAAAAGCAGATTTAAAAGGAAATGACTTATAAATCCTCAAAGGGCTGTATGCCAGAAAGAGGGATTAGACATTGTGTAGTTTTATTGGGCAGAGTTAGGACCACTGTTTGGAGTCTTATATTGGGAAAGAAAACTTTGGGTCAGAGCTACAGAAGATGGGCAGGGCTGCTTGGTGAGGAAGCACACCATCACTGGAAGCAGGTAGGCAGAAGCTGCATGACTGCCAGAGAAGGGCTATGGTGAGGGGCTCCCAGGTTGGACTGGATGCCTCTGAGAACTACTTCCAATTCCAAGAATTGAGATTCTTGGATCATTGCGTTCATGAGAAAAAGTGAACTCTCTGTGAGAAAGCACCAGTCTGCATGTCTACCTCCTCAGTGAAGTGGCCCTAGTAGGCCTAAGGATCCATCAGAGCTGGACGCTGGATCATTAACCCATGGAGATCACTTTGAAACATACTGAATTCATCATACAAGAGAAGAAAGTACAGAAGGTAGAATGAGAAAAATTTGTGTGTGGTTTAGAGAGGAGATAGACCAGGAGAACTGCTGCTTTAGATCCTGAGGCCTGGCCTGGGGCAGGAAATTACCTAACTGGAATTGGTGGCCAAGCCAGGACTTGACCTTTGGCCTCCCAGCCCCATCTAGTCAGGAGATGTTGTTTGGATTCCACATGACTTTCATGGGATTCTTCTCTGCCCTCAGGCCTCAGACACTGAGAATAGAGGCTTAGAGATGAATTTGGGGCGTGGGAATGAGGTGGAGGGAGGAGTTTGTCTTAGGAAGTTTGGGAGTATCTACATCTCCAATACTTGGCTGTTCCAGAGTGGACACCAGGTGGCGCTCCCACCACAAGCCAAGTGCCATCAGTATTGGCTGAGTTTTGGCTAAGGGTACTGAGCTGTCCCCAACCTGTCATGTTTTAGGTAAGCTGAATGTTCTAATGGAAAGAGAAGAGTCTGTCTTTTGTCTGCCAACCCCCTGTCCTCACTGAATATCCCTCTGTGGATTTTTACTTGTTTTCCCTCTCATTTAACTTGGCTGGCCTGACCCAGATCTTAGCAATTTAGAGTAGGGGCAATCAAATTAAAATGTACCTAGAAAATGACTAGGACAGAGAACATAGATGAAGGAATGGGATGCCCCTGGGAAGTGTAGACCCTTGGGGCTAAGCAAGCTGGTGGAAATTGTGAGAAGCTCTCTTTTCATAGGGGCTGAGTAAATGCCTGAGAGGTGATAGGCTCTGTGCTGGCTTAGGAGAAGGAGGCAGGTACTAAACGGAACACACTGGCAGAGGTTTGTAGGTGGGCAGAGCTCTTGGAGCGAAGTATGGATCCAGGGCCATATTATTTAGAGTCATGGGAAGGAAAGGACAGGAATATGCCTCCCCTTCAGATTTTTCAAATCCACATCGGTTCTGAAGAGGATTTCTCCACTTTCCTTGCTGGACCTATTCTAAACCCCAGTGAAATCTTCCAAAAGCTTTGCCAGGGGCATTGGTATCCTCTTTACCTTTTGAATTATTTGTCAGTATTTTAAAACTGATAGTTTCAATAAAGATTGAATTTTCATCTTCTCTTGAAAAATCAGATCACCTGTCACTTCTGGGTATACTTCTTGGTTCCTGTGACATGGAGTTGAATAGAAACTACCCCATAATCACAGTTCCTGAGGTCCCAGCCTATTGGCTTCATTCATTCTCATGACCTGCCTGGTTTCTTTGTCCCCCTGCAATTGGGGAAGGGTCATGGTAGGCAATAGTGATTGTTGCTGTCGMTAGTAGAGGCCTGGATGGCCACTAAGCTCTGAAGCCTCACAGCAGAATGGGATACAGCATTTAGAGAACTCCATCAGGTTGAATGCCTTCTGAGAGTATAAATAATCCCAGGAATTGGGACTCTTGGATCACTGAATCCTTGAAAGAAGGTGAGCAGTTTGTGAGTGACCACACATGTGCCTGTGTTATCTCACTGTATCCTTACACCTCCCACTAGCTTGTTCAGGGTGGGCCACTCCTTCAAAGGCTGTGTTTAGCCATGGAATTAAATTTGAGAAGGGGTCAGAGGAAGCTCAGAGAATGGAGAGATAAACCAAGTTTGGCCATGAACGGTGAGAGGCTTTGGCTGGAATGTTGGACTAGACTCCCAGGGCCTCTGCTGCTTTGGGGTCATGAAGCTCAGGTCTATGTCCATTTCCTTGTCTAAGGTCACTTCTTGTATTTGGCTGTGCTTCTGCTGCCCTCAGGAAACAACTTCTAAGTGTTTTTCTCCTACATCTTTTCTCTCAGTCTCTTCTTCCCCTGTCTGGATTTTAGAGTCATGGGAAGTAAAGGACAGGAATATGCCTCCCCTTCAGATTGTCAGATCCACATCTGTTCTTACTCTGCTGGTCCATCTCCCATCATTGACTGTGAGTGGGAGTTGTGCCCCTTCCTCATTTCAGGCCCAAGAGTCATCCTTGGCCTCCAAAGAAGCATGCAGGCCCTTGTCATAATCTATGCCATTCTGAATTGATTTCCCTGTGCTGCTGAGGGCAGTAAAGTCTGTGCCCAAATACTGGTGCTATTGCTCCATCAACTACTTGCCTTTCCCTTTATAGAGCTGTTGCTTCAATCACAGACTCAGTTCTTACTTCCCCTAGTTGCCTGCCTAGAAGTGGGCTACCATTTGGTCCTGGCCCTTTATCCGCAGGTTGGCTGGCTTGGGGTGATGATGGTTTTCAGTACTATTCCCTCTCATCCCAACTTCAGTCTAAAAAAAAAAAAATACCTGGGCATTTACTTAGTTTTCATCTGCTGACCTGTTGTTTGGAAGGTTGAGCCTACTCCCTGGCCTGCCCTTCTGGCTAGCACCTGGCCCTGTCTGTGTCTTTCTGAGGATCACTTGTACCTAGGCTCCAGCCTCAGATAGGAGGCAGCAATACCAGGGCATGTCACTCTGGGGGAAGTTAAGGACCCTAGAGAGAATACCTGAGTTTCAATCCTTGCCCTACCTTTAACCAGCAAGTGCTCCTGAGCACAGTACATTTCCTTTCCATGCCTTTATTTCCTTGTTTGTAAAGGAGATGAATATTAACACCTATCTAATTCCATACCCTAGGATTGCAGAAGTTAAAATGAGGCTATGAAATGTGCACCACACTCAGTAACTGCAATGTTAGCAATTGTTATTGGAATCTGAAAACCTGGGTTCCCATCTTGATTCCATCATTTACCAACTGACCTTGGTCAGGTCCCTGTCCCTCTCTTTGCCTCATTTTCTTCTCTAGAATGGAGTTATACTTTCTCCCTTAGTGAGGGAAAGAATGCAGGACTGGCAGGAATGATGTAGGTGGAAGTGGGTTGCACTTTGCAAGTTGCTATGCACATGGGTAATGTTTTTATTTTGAACCTGTTTGAATTCTTAGTTCTTAAATGCAGGGATGGGTGATTTCTTAATTTGCCTTAACTTTTTTTAAAAGATATTTTTTAGTTGTCAATGGATCTTTATTTATTTATATGTGGTGCTGAGAATCGAACCCTGTGCCTTATACATGCCAGGCAAGTGCTCTACCACTGAGCCACATCTCCAGCCCTTTCCTTTTTATAGAGAAAGACAATACTAGGGGCTGTCTATCTGACAGAGGAGGCCCTGGGCTGGACACCAAGTGTCAGTCTCAGAGGATAGCCTAGGCCAGGCCATCCTGCTGGCTTCTGGGCAGGGTGCAGGTCTCAGAGCAGGTCACACATCTTTGACTCTCCACACCGGCTTCCTTCTGGAGCAGTGTGAACCTGGGTCTTTTGAAGCTGGGAGCCCCTGTGTTATCTCTGAAGGCATCTTGATTCCCCCTTCTTGGCCTGCTAGGATTCCTTGGGGCTCCCAGGTAAGGAGGAGGAGGCAGTTAGAAGCAAAATGTAGAATGGCAAAGCTAAACTTCCTGGTAGCAATACTTTCCTGGCCATGGAGCAGAGCAGAGGGCTGGGGCTGGGGCTGGGGCCAGGGCATCCTGCCCAGTGTCTTTGCTGGTGTCTGCAGTGCATGAATTAAGTCTATGAGTTCTGAAGGTCACATCTTCATTTGCCTCTGCTGCTGCCTCCTCACCCTATTTCCTGTCAGTGCAGTACACCTTGGGCTAGATCTCCAGCATGCACTAGATAAAGACTTACTAAGCTGGGTGGGTTTCCTATTTGTGGTTCCTTGGGGCTCAGGTAGAGCTTGTTGGTTCAAATCGTTTCTGACCTGAGGGCGGGGAGATCCTTTTTACAAAGGGCAGGCAGGTGGCTCTGAGAAGATGGACTAATGACAGAGCTGCCTGGGCTGCTCAGGTGACTGCAGAGGGAGTGTGCCTGGACCTTCCAAAGGCACTATCATTGGGTCATCAGGTTGCCTGTGATAGTTGAGCCCTAGGCACCTTATGGGTAGAGATCCCTCAAGTTGGTCCTACCCTGCCTCCCTGACAGTGAGTCTTGGGCATGCAGGATGTTCCCCTCTTTTCACTTGGGGAAGGGGCCTTCCTAATTATATCCCCCTCTGCTCACATGGAAATGAGTTTGGATTTTCTGAGCGTACACCAGCTGGCTGGGGGGAGGCAGCCCAGAAGGCTGCTGGCTGGGGAAGGGAGGAAAAAGGAGAGGGAGGGGAGGGAGCCAGGCCAAGATGAAAAATTCCCAGTGTTCTTACAGGCAGAGCAATAATGGGGCGCTGCATGCTCCCCACACATCATCAATCGCCCTCCCGCCCCAAGGGAAAAAGCATCATGCTCCTGCTGATAGGCTCAGGCAAACCCATCCTGTGAGAACCTGACTTTCAGGCTCCAAACCTAAGTGCTGGCCAGAGTGAGGGTGTCTAGTGTTAGTCTGCGCTCGCAGAAGAGACTCCGTCCTCCACGACTTCTAGGCCAATCCTTTCATGGGGTAGGAGGAGTGGAACTGAGGCTCAGAGAGGGGATGGGGCCTTCCGCGGAAGACAGAACGCCACAAGTCTGTTGTTTGCAGCCCGGTTCTCCCGGTGGAGTTGCTCCGAAGCCCGTGGCGAAGAATCCCCTGGCTGCCCTCACGGCTCAGGATTGGGGCAGCAAGGGAGCCGAGAAAAGGCTGAGGGGCGGGGGAGGGGCGGGGTGGGGTCAGGCGTTTGACTCCGCCTCCTGGCGCTAGGTTCAGCCTGCGGCCGGGCGCTGGCTCAGTCTCGGCTGCTTGCCGCTGTCGCTCCGGGGCTGCGGGATGACGCCTCCTCCTCCCGGACGTGCCGCCCCCAGCGCACCGCGCACCCGCGTCCTCAGCCCGCCGGCTCGGTCCGGGCTCCTGCTGCGGCTGCTGCTGCCGCTCTGGGCGGCCGCCGCCTCCGCCCAAGGCCACCCGAGGAGCGGACCCCGCATCTCCGCCGTCTGGAAAGGTAGGCGGCGCCGCGCGGCCGGCGGGGCGCGGGATCGGACGCTGCGCGGGGCGGGTACGGAGTGTGCAGTACCCAGAGGGAGTGCGTGCGCGCGGCTCTGCGGGTCCCGGGCTGTCCCCGCAGAGAGCGTGTGGGTCTGGGTGAGTGTGTGTGAGTGTGCGTGGTGTCACGCCGGAGCAGGCTGTAACGCTGCAGCGTGCGAGCGGCTGGGGCCAGAGCCCCAGCTAAGTCGCTCCAAGTCCGTAGGCAGCCGGGAGCCGCAGCGCCCGGACGCGGGGGGAGGGTGCGGGCCCTCTCTCGGCCCCCAGCCGCTTTTGGTCTTTTAGAGCGGGGTCTTCCCCGCAGGACCCCTTTTCTGTCCCGGCTCCCCACCTGGACCCCCTCCTTCTGAGCTGCGGGCTCTGCAGGCGCGCAAGGCTCTGGCTGGGCCGGTGAAGGGGGCGCGGACCCGTTGCTGCCGCCGCTGCGCTCCGGCTGCGGGAACAAAGACCCCGCCGCCTGCCCCCGCCCCCGCCCCGGCCCGGAGCGCGGGCCAGGCAAGGGGGTGGGCACCCTGCGGCGAGCCGGGACGAGGTGTGGTGCGGGGGCTTGGGGCACCTGGGCGCTGTCTCTGCTATGCCGGGACCGGCCGCTCCCCCCTTGCCCGCACGTGGCAGTTGTCACCAGGAATCGGCGCTAGCGTGGGGGGCAGTGCCCACGGGGTGGGGCGAGGCCATTGGGACCCCCGGCCGGCCAGCGGATCTGGGGCGGGTAGCCTTTAGGCCACAGTGAATATGAGAACCTGGGGGACGAGAGTCTCCTCCAGGGCACCTCAGTTTAGACCCCTGTACAATGGGACAGAAAGCTGGCTAGGTGGGGGTTTGAGGCTTTCTGCCGCTAGGGACTAAGCTCCCCTCCCCTGCATTGCATATAAATGCCTCCCCGCCCCCAAGCGGACTAGCTCTGTCCCCAAATTTGGCTGCATCTCCCCTGTGGTTGTGATGGTGGGACTCACAGCGGGGGCTGTTTGGGTCTGTCCCCACCGGGAACCCTTTGATGTCTTTGGCAGTTTGCAGGGATTGCCGGAGTCTGAGCATTATCTGGGGCAGGTATTCTTAGCAGAAGTGTGGGGGGGGGGGGGAACCACACACAAAATGAGTGTCCTGAACTGCCGCAGCAGCTGAAGGAATGTGACTCGCCCAAGGTCACTGGGCGGCTTGAGCTCAC